CCTTTAGATGAGCCATGTTTTGAATATTTTTTATGGTGTATCAACACGGGTCCGTGACTAGATGGTGGCTCAACCACCCCTAGAAAATTTTCTGCCGCCCTGTCCATTGTTCTAAAATTGTTATTTTAGATAAATATGTAATTCTTTTACGTTTAAGTTTCGAATATGGAGTACTCTGGACTCTCTTTTCCTGGTTTACTCCATAACTTCCAAGCCCCTGATAAGGCCATCTCACAACATGCTAGAGTCACCCTTACTACAGCTGGTCTAGCTACGCTCTCGCATCAATACCTGCAAGTATCCCCACGGGTAAAAATCAAGTGTGTTAATGTCCGAGGATCTCAGAAACCACATGATTACGACGACCAATCCTGAAAGGTAATGATCCAATTTATTGTCAATCTTTAACTTAATTAACATAAATATTATTTAAATATTTAAAATAAAAAGTAAAGCTTTATATAATTGGATATTTATTGGTTTTACTTTAAATCGCATAAATTCCGCATAAAATTTAATTATTTTAATAAGATTTCCAATATAAGATGGCGCCACGTGATATCGCTATTAAATTATCGATCAAGTCACTTTATAGCTAGGAGCAAATAAGGATTTGCGTTATAAATTTAAACACATAAAGAGATTTATTCCAGACATAAATAGATTTTAAAATATTCTAAGCAATGTATTATTTTATCAATATCATCTCTTTAATCGACGTCGGAACAAGGCGGGGGGTGAGCCATTTATCAAAAATAGCAAACAGTAATGACAAACGACAAGTTACCGAGACACGAAAGCTATCCATCATTCTAATCCTAGAAAACAGCACAAACGGATAATTCTTTTAAATATCTTTATCAAATTAAGCTTTAAGAAGTTCAGAAGCATTCATTTCACTCGAGCTGCAACCATCCCTCCTATCTAAACACATGTTTTAAAGCTTTAAAAATTTTTTCCTTAATGATTTCCAGGATAGATGGAGTGTTTTAGTAGCTTCGAGTGTTAAATCGAGGAGAAAAGTATACCAAATATTAATTTACAGCCTAAGAATCGCAGTTTTAGTCAACGATAAGTGATTAGATTATAGTTAACTATGTATTTAGTAAATGATAAGTGATAGAGCTGTAAAAGAAAATAACGCTTTACGACACTTCAGTTACTAAATATAATTTTTTATATAGGCTATAAAAAACTGTTAATATATTTTAAATAAAATTAACTTTTTATTGTTCATTTATTCCAGTTAATTTGATTTTAATAATTAACCGGATTAAGCAGCAAACTCGGGTGAGTTCAATTTCGTTAATCTGAATCAAAGAATTGAAAGAACATTTTTAAAAAAATTAAGTTTTTTCTGTTTAGGTTTACAGAATGAAATAAGAATTAAGAGAGATGAGATAAAAGACCCGATCTATCACAAATATGGGGACTCACTCCTCTCTTAAAGCCATTAAAGTATATGAATAAAAGCAATGAAATAAATAGTAAAAAATCTACTTTCATTTATCAAAAGAGAAATTAACTTATGCCACTTTTAATATAAAAGACTAAATTTTGGGTGTATTCTACGCTCGTATGGAGCTCGGAAGTAGAGCGAGCCCCTTTTGCTCCTAGACGATTCTTTTGTCTCCCCTTTTTGAAAAATGTCTCATTATTAAAAAAAGCACACTTAAAGACTTTTTTCTCTTAGTAAAGTAGCATTAATTTATAAGTGATAGTAACTACTACCGGCTCCTAAATTTTCTGCCCAGCTCCCCTCTCTACACGACATATCTAGGCTTGAACATTGCAGACAGATAATACAGTTAACCTTAGCTACGATCGTTACTCAAGGCCTAATTTAGACTCTTAGTTTTAAGATATGATATAAAAGAAGCCTTTTATCCTTCACCGAATGGTAAAAAGTTTAAACAATGTGAGGCCATGTAGTTTTTGCTTAGCTCGCGTCTAAAACGAAGATGTGTAAACTTTTAAAGGAGATTATGTGTAATGTAAAGCAAATTAAATATTATTAATGTTATAATTAATTTCATTTTTTTAAAAATTAAAAAGTCTTTTAGTAAGATGTTATATAGGTCTTAAACTTTTTCACAAAATTATTGAGAACTTTAAAAAAAATCTTTAAAAAATTCGTAACTATCATCGTATCAGTATTTTTTAAAATAATATTTATAATTTATATATACAGCAATAACACGAGTTATTAAATAAAAAAATCATCTTATAAATATAGTCGAACCTCCAATAACGGGCACCTCTAAATGGCGATCGTTTTTTCAGTAACATTTCTTTTTGAACACAAAATGCATACAAAATAACTTCCAAACAGCGATCAATCCCAACAACTGCTCCCGTCAGTGGCCGTTATTCAGAGGTTTAATTACATAGTCTCGACCTTTTTCAATTGTGCATACCAACGAGCCAGCGAGTATCAAGGATGTTCCTATGTATAAACGATAAGTGACGTTAAAAACCTGTTTTTACATATTTAAAATTAATATATAAACCTCCCTCTTCTATGCTATTTAAATATACTCAAACCTCTGAACAACGGCCAGAAGGGAACATAAAAATGTCCGTCGTTCGGAGGTTATTTTGTGTATGCATTTTTGCTCCAAAAAAGTTCCTGAAAAGACGACCGATGTTACGAGGTGACCGTTATTGGAGGTTCGGCTTTATTCATTAAGCTGTAGGAAAACTATGGAATAATATTTTAAAAGTATTATTTAAAATTTTATATCAAAATAACTTTCATGATTCTATGAGTAGATCGGATTATATTAACCATAAGATAGATCAATGTTCTAGGATCTCTTGTAAGGATGTAGAGCCTACTCAAGGGTTTAGGCTGAAAAAAGGAAAAGAATGACGAGATAAGAAAGTAAAGAGAACCTTCTGTATTCACTCCTATTCTGTATTCACTTTTATTGACTCCTATCTGCTCAGCATCCTTGTAGGATGCTGAGCAGATAGGAGTCAATAAAAACTCATGAAAATATATATATATTCAAAGATATTATATTATTATTAGAGAATAAAGCTTACTCAAAGGTCTAGGCTAAAGAAAGGAAAAGAATTAGGAGATAAGAAAGGAAAAAATATCCAGTTCAGTACTGAGCAGATTGAGGGAATGATAAAGTGTATACGTTTGTTGAGAAATTTTGACCATAAACTATAAAAATATTAGAAAATATTTTATTACTATTTTTAATTTTTTGATGTTTTTCTTTCACTCAAAACGCTAAATTTTTTTTAAAAACAGCGCTTTATTTCCGTTAGAAATTTAGCGCTTTTCTATCGAATAACATCGAGTTGGATGTAGATCTGTTGTATTCCAAACAACGAAATTATCTTTAGAATTTCCAACGAAATCTAAATTTTTACTAATATTTAATACGTTCATGTTAAAGAATAATTATAATTTTGGGGTGTTATTTATTATCTAGAATATCACTATAGTTAGATAAATAGATACAGTATAATATAAATATAGTTATATCTGATTAAAAATTGTTCATAATGATACGAATCTCATTATTATTCTTTCGAATATTCGTGAAATTCATTTAAATTTAAGAGTGAAATGTTGATACGGAACTTTTAACGTTATACAAAAAGCACCTTTCCAGAGAAATTCATTTCGCTAAATTAAAGTTCATAAAACAAGCAATATCATAACTCCATTCTTCGTTAAATGGTTAATTTTTTTTATTAACAACAATTAGTTAATCGTAATTAGCACTTAATTATCTACGAAGAAACTTGTAAAGCTTTAGCTAATTTCTTGGCTCTTGATAGAACAGGATTTAAAGCAATTTTTATTTAAAAAAGCAAGCTTTAATCAAATTTTCTGGCATTGGAAATTCATTTTTCTCGTGTAGAGAATAAACATTTTAGCGAAAAGATCGGAAGGAATTTGTAGTTAACGCTTATTTCTCTGCCGAGCATCGCTGTTACGTATAGATAATCTGGACTTTTTGCAGCTAAAACGCCATCGTTGTTACATCTGTAGATAATCTGGACTTTTTGGAGCTAAAACGTAGCGATTACATCTTGGTAAAAACCTTAATTTAAAGAATAATTGCCAAACAGCCGTTAATAACCTCTATTAAACTAATCGCTTCAGAATAGGCAATTATAATCTCGTCGGACAAACTTCTTTCTTCTTTTTTCCCTCCACTCTTTGTAAATTAAACTATAAATACAAGAAACTTTCCGCAAACAAAACTTTGTAGATAAGATTGGTAGCTATCGCTGATGTCGCAGAGCAGAGAACTAATCATTGCCACACCAGGGACATTACCAACACCTGTTCTTCGCGCCTTATGGCATTGGACGTCATCCCGCTCGCGACTGAATTCGCAACTGTTGTTACCCAGAACATCTTTTCGGTATCTTTTTTATCCTTAATAACCACGTAGATACAGGATGCCCCATCGTTTCTCTATGTTTTACGACGGGTATCTTTTCCCGAATGCCGTACCCCCCTACACGCTGCCACAGAGAAATCTTGCCCTTCGCCGAATTTTAATGGTAAGATAACAATTGATTGAGCTTCTAGAATGGCAAAAATCTGGGATTTTATGCACGAGGAGGGAGAGTTCGGCCATTTAAGCGTTGGCCAAACGACCCCATTGGAAGGTTTTTTTGGCGCCAACTCTTCTTCCGTTTGTACGATAGGAACGAGAAGAGGGGTGAATTCCTGCGGAGCACAATGCGAATAACGAGCAGTTTATGGCAAGAATTGCCGGTAAATTAACGCGTTTGTTGGGACGAGAAAAAGCCGAGAGGCTTCCATTAACGGGATCCAAATTTGAAAGAGGAAAAGGTAGAAAAACTTCGATACCACTAAAGGCAGTTAGACAGGACAGCGAGAAAGGAGGGAGGCGAAGTCGGAGGCGAAGGCGGGCATCGATTGGGTCACATCTGCGCCGCTTCCTATTGGCCGCGGGTGGCTGCCAGCAGTCGTCACATTGTCAATCGACGAAAGGCTGGAAGGTGCCGGACCAGCTCATCTAATCGACCATGCCCGCAACGCACGACGTGTTAGGACCGGCTCTAGCATAATCTCCTCGGTCGCGAGCCAGGAGTGTAAGAGAGGCGCAATACTATATCTATATAAACGTTGGGGCCGGTTGATGTCGTAATTACTTTACATCGTGAAGGGCAGGAGGCGTCAGGCGGACGGGGCTGTTTTGGGTCCACCACGCCACATTTCGTGCCATGTCGGGCGCGCTCAACCCGTCAACCGGCAACGTCAGTCGTTTTCACGCCAGTCCAGCCACGGCCAGCACTTTTGCCACACCTGAATGCGGCTCGAGTGCCGCAGCCGCAGCAGCCTCTTTTCTAGAACTAACCGGTCCTTCGGCAGCCGCGAGTTTTCCATACGATTTTGGTCTGACGGGTTTCCGTAGTTCTGCCACCCATCACGCCGCAGCTAACTTCGGGGTGTCTTATTTCGCCGCCGCCACCACTCCGGACGCCGTCGATAATTACTCTTCTTTGGCTTGGGACGGACAATCGCCCTTCGCCACCGGATACCAGAACCAAAGTAGCTTCGCCGGGGTGTCTTGTGACTTTTCCTCTTTCTCCCTGGCCGGCGGCGCTTGCCACGTACCCAGCGGACGTCTACCTGGCATGGCCGTTCAGAGATTTGGTGCTCAAGTTCGTAATGGCGCCGGTTGTCCCGGCAACGGGAACACCGTCAACGGCGGAAGTGTCGTCAACGGTTCCAAGTCCAAACCGAGAAGGCGCGTGGCCACCATGGCGCAGAGGAGGGCGGCCAACATCCGAGAGAGAAGAAGGATGTTCAATTTGAACTCCGCCTTCGACAAACTGAGAAAGAAGGTTCCCACGTTTGCCTACGAGAAGAGGTTGTCTCGCATCGAAACTCTTCGCTTGGCCATCATGTACATCGCCTTTATGACCGAAGTGGTGGGGGGTAAAGAGCCCGACGACTCCAGAACTCGGCGCGACAGACTGACCGTCGGGCCCCCCGCTTATAATTCGGGTCACGTTCTGGGGGAAAGTCATCTCTGGTCGGCCACTCACGGCCATTCGCCTCTGACCGACGGTCACCTGCCAAGAACGGATCGTCTTAACCATCTTTGCTCCAGACAGGTTTAAATCGCGGTCCACCAGACGCCCAACACTTGGAAAAAGACGCTAAAGTGTCCTCCCAATAGGCCACTTTCCGGCAACTTCCACGCTCTCTTTCGGGAATTCCTCCGGAACGACACAGGTAAAGCCATTGAATACATTTGTTTTTATCCGATTCGCTCGGTCTACTCGAACGGATTAATCTAAAATATCCGATTTAAAATGTTTGTAGGTTTCCCGTTTTTAAGGAAATTAAGTAAAACAAATAAAATTACCAAAAATAAATGTCTATAAACGCTAAATAACTTGTCTGTTTTTATCTTAGATTGACTAAACTCTTTAATAAAAATTCGCTTCTCTCGTCACACAATACTTCTATTGCCTAATTTTCTTCGCTTTCTGTTCTCTTCTTTCTCCACTATTACTATATTTTACTTGGCAAATTACTTAAAATCCAACGATGACAAACATTCTAGCAGCTTTTAAGTCATCGTCGTTCAAGCGCGCACTTTCAAAATAAATGTCTCTTTTCTAATTCTAACATTTTAATCTAAATGCCTACTTCCTACAAACCTACGGGCATTAATGCACCTTATAATCGTCATTTAATATCCTACTTCCTATTCATTCGTACTGCTTCTAACCGTACTTCGTTACATAAAAAGTAGACTTACATTCGGATTTAACGTGCTCAAAATCGACTAAAATAGCTTAATTTACGTTGTAATTATAATTTTAACAATAAATAACTTAATATTTTATCATTGAAGATGGTGATCTTATCAAAAATTACGGCTAGGAAATTCCTTTCTAGTGCATTTAGCGTTAAACTTGTTACGTCTATAGAGCCTTTTTAAATTCGGATATGTCGAATTTTGTCTCATTGGGGCTGTGTTCTTGATTTAATTCGGAAATTAAAAGCCCTTTATGCAAATAGTAAATTCGAAAAATATAGAACCACGAACGAGTTGTAGCAATATCTTACTGTATGCTTCCGATTAGCATAATTATCATTAGTGACTTCAGTCTACAACATATATTAAATTCTAGTTATTCAAATCAATCCTTATTTTCCAATAGGGTCTAACTAATTTTATAGATTAATTTGACATAAGTTTAGTTATATGGTTATCGATTTTCCTCGAATTGAAATAGTTTATTCCTTTACTTATTCGTAAAATTCTTTATATAAAGAACAGTATATTACACCAAATTATCAGTTTTAAAACTGCGATTTATTACACGTGTAATTGTTAAAGATTCTTCACACATCCATTTATTTGTAATTGTCGATAGAATAAGTCGTTTTAGGCAGATATTTTTGTAAACTAGACTTTAACCCTTGTTTAACAGGCCTTTTTTAATAGAGGAACATAATATAGAACGTCCTTTTACTATGGGAGCATGCATTGGATAGAGATTTACACAGGAGCGAGTTTTGTCGTGTATGCTATTAAAACATGCACCACAAAACTCGCTCATGTATAAATCTCTATCCCGTAGGTCCTATGAAAAATAAATGTTTTCTCTTCCGTTTATACTATATGATAAAAACGGGCGAAAACGAAACTCTGGTATAAAAATAAATTTTAGGTAATTATCGTTAAAATTTCTCACTTAATTGCGTGTATAATGCTTAAAACTTTGGCGAAATTTTACATTTGGAAAATCGTCAGAAGAAATGGTAATTTGGAATTACTCGGGGGCTAACTAGAAATTGATATAACGCGTAATCTCTCAATTTAGAGACGATGCCCAGTTGAACGGTAGATTTAGTACGAATAGTGGAAGACCTCTTAATAAAATGGGGTGGATTTTTGCCGTCGACTCGATTTTATACACGGTCGCACGTGCGCCGACCGCTCCAATGCATCATCATCGACATCCCTGGCAAGAAAAAAAAGCCAAAGCCACAAATCCATTCGAAGGCCGAAGCGCCACGTGTTCCTATAATCCGATTTAGTGTAACTTATTCGTTTGCCTAATGAGTGTGAGCTCGGGAGGCAGGTGTCGCTTTCCCCGAGTCGCGCTTATCATAACAAAGCCCGTCCAATAGACGTGCGGTTAACATTTGACCTCCGGACAATCGACTACGAAACGGGACGCTCGGGCCCGCTTCCAATGTTGACACGATGCAGATTGGCACGTCCACTTTTTGTCCCCTTCTTCCCGGCCAACTACTGATTGATTGACTGACCGCAGTTTTAAGGGGGTATACAGGCCCTTGTTGACACATACTGCGTTTTCGAGTGCGCCCATCTCCTTCTGTTTGCAGAGGTTTGTCTAACGATTGTACTTTTTACCGTATTACGTCAAATGATTCGTGTTTGTTCGTTTGCTAAACGGCTTACACTCCACCTTTTCATACCGATAATACACGAGTTGTTTTACTTTCGCTCCCTTTTACTCTTACGTCTTACAAATACAGAATATAATCACAAGCTAGACCCATCTTTAGATTGTCGGAAGGAGAATTTAATAGGTTTTGTGTATGAGATATTACGGTTAGGCATTATTGAAACATACAAAAGATAACAGTAGGCTTGTGTAGAACTAAAGATTGCAATTTGTTACTCGAATTTAATATTTCAATTAGATTTTATATGAACGTTTAAATCGCTTATTCTCCATTATCTGGTTTATTTTCAATTAAAATAAAGGAGTATTAATCAGAATTTCATTGGCATATTTGATAAATAGGCAAGTTTAGTTGCTAAAGGTTATAAACTCTGACTATTGCGAATCCGGATGAGCAAGTCTTCGGCAATTTTTCAATGGGCGATCTGTCTCGGATATGTTGGGCCCCGTCTTTCACCATCCGTTTGCCATTGTGGGCCTCCTCTAGCCCGTATGGGTATGAAGAAAAAGCCATCTTAGTGCCCACAAGGTCTTTATAAATCTAGATCTAAAGCATCGGATAGGATAAGTCTGTAAGAAATTCATGAGTTCTTCTTGAGATTTTTGTGAAGTAAAATAAAGTAGAGAAACTTTACAAAAAGTTTTAATAGAATTTCCAGTTGATAGAATATGAATTGGATAATTTGAACAATTCCCATTTCACGGATGCAATCGAGTAATTATCTTGTATGCTAGTTACTCTGTATTAATTCGACTTTGGCTTAGTTCTATATAAATTTAAGTAAAACAGAAACTACGGTCTTTCCCAGAATAAGAATGGAGACGAGAGGCGAAGGAAAATAGTTTCACTTTCATTACGAAGTAGAACATATTTTAGAAAATTTAAGTTACGTTTAAAGTATTATAATGTGTTATAAATTTTCGACATTTTTGTAAGAAATTTCAGATTATAAAAGTACAAAAAGAAAAAAATTCACGCGATATCATATGACGTGAGGCTTGTTCGTTTCGTCTAGAAACTGTACACTTTTACGTCAATTTGACGTCGCTTTTTAAACTTGTTTATTATAAAAGAAAAAATTACGTCAAAATGACGTTAAAATGTACACTTTTGGAAGGAATTAAACATCGCATTTCGAAGAATTTTTCTTTCTTATCTACGCGGCAGAATGACATGCATTGAAAATTTAGCATATCGGCTCTATTTCATAGGTGTTATTCGTTATGAAATTAAGCAAATGAATGAGCGAGAACCTATTTTACTAGTCTCTAACGGAATTAGACATCAGATAAAATTTAAATTTAGGTATAAAGAAGTAATTAAAATTAGTATTATAACTAGAAACACTCATATGTTATTATAATTATAATTCAATTTTTAAAAATTTGATACTTTAACTTACAACAAATCAAAAGCATACAGTAATTATATATTTAAATTTTGCCTTTATCAATAATAAATTTAAATTTTATCAGATCCTAAGCAGAAATTTGGACTAAGAGGACCATAAATTCCTTACAATGATCCAGACTCTGTAATTTACACGCATTTGTGTAAGTGTCTACTGCAGCTTAATGCTTGGCGTTATGACTACAGCTTCGTGCCTCATATTTTTGCCTATATTATTATTTAGTGGAGGAAAAGGGCCTGTTATATATTACGGCTTAAGCCACAATGAGTAAGTCCAGCTCTGGTAGAATATACAGAGACCTTCCTCTTTACCTAATAATGATACATGTAAAAACGTGAGGCCCTAAGCTATATAAAATTGAACAGCTTAACAAGAATGAAATAAAGCATTTTTCCTTGTACTTAACTAAGTATTTTTACTAGTAATTACATTATATTTTTAAGAATTATGAAATTATATACTGTAATTCATAACGAAATATTTCGGTAAAGTTTCTGATATTTCATTCATAATTAATGGAGAATGTAAATAAACCTGTTCAGAAAGGACAATGTCTCGATATTTATAGCAATGTTAGAATCCTACATTTTATTTTAATTGGAAAACCTTCACTTGAAGCAATTAATCAAAGTACAGATTTAAAAAGGGGGCCTCCAACTATTAGAGTAAAAGCTATCTAATTGCTGTCTAAATGGATAATTTTAATCATAAAACAGTGAAGAGAATACCGAAATATCTGGTAAAATAATTCGCATTAAAACAGGTAGTCAAGAACGAATTTTAATACTCCGAATCGCGTTCGGTTGGGAAAAACTACATTAAAATAACGAGGAAGCTTTCAAAACAGATCAGTATAGCAGCATTAATTACAATCAAATGCATAAAAGTTACACTCGTATGGCGATTGTAGAGAGTTTCTCTTTAAATTTAATTAATTTTTTAGTCGACGTTTCGTCAACAAAATCAATAATGCCATTTCGCTGATAAAAAAATAATATACATTTATGTATATCTTGGAAACATAAATTATGTTTATTTACGGGTATCCTTAACGAATTCTTCAGGATCGACGTTAAATATATCTTAGATAAAAATAAGGCAAATCGAAAAAGAAAAAGATGGTAGAGATGGGCCGAATCGAGGAAAAATGGCGAATTAAATAGAAGAAAACGACGTTCCTGTACATGGACCTGACGGGATTATCAAGAAAAATAAGGGAAGCTGCTTGAGAATGCGTCTGCATTGTGCTCCCCCTCCTAGTCTGGTTTAATGGAAATTTTTCAGCCTCAGTACCTCCCATTATTGGCCCACCATTCAGTCGTCTCCACTGCCGCGTCGTCATGGAGACGGAGGAGGCGCTCGGAGCTTCTCCGCCTCTTCGCTTAAGAATCGCTAACAATCCCCCCTATATCTTTGCCTCCTTCGTCCCTTTCTCTCTTATTCTTTGTTTTTCGTGGCTACACTCTAGCTTATATCATCCC